GGAAGGAAGGGGAGAGACAGAGAAAGGGAGGGAGGAAGGAAGAGAGGAGGAGAGGGGAGGGAGGGAGGAAGGAAAGAAGGAAGGAAGGAGAGAGAGAGAAAGGGAGGGAGGGAAGGGAGGAAGGAAGGAAGGAAGGAGGAGAGGAGGGAGGGAAGGAGGGAGGGAGGGGAGAGGGAGAGGGATAAGGCAAGGGAAAGAGAAAACAAGGCGCAAATAAATTGGAAGAGAACAGAACCATTCTGTTAGTCTGATGCTGGAGGCTGAGCCCTCGTGTATTGTGGTTACTTTAATTTGGATTCCTTTTCTGAGCAGATTGACAGCCTGTGATTCAAGGATTCTTTTGTTCATTTATTATGTAATATGTGGAAGTGGGGAAAAGAGATCTCTTTTTATTATCTTTATAATAAAAAAGATTTATTATGTTATCTTTATCTTTTATTTTCTTTTACCCCTCTCTAGCACTGCAACGGGAAGAACCAGGCAACGCCTTGCCAGAATCAAATCTGCTTGCGCAGGGTCTTTGTATTTCTGTTTATTACATTAACTGATCATTGGCCACAGTAAATAATGTCGGTATCCATAAGAAGAATGAAAGAAAACAGTCTGTCAGGCAGCGCAGCCTTAGAAATAACTAAGTTAGAATCTCCCGCAAAAATACAAAACATAGACGCACAATTTCCTATCACGATTTGTAAAGCAGATTGAACACCTTGTGCAAAACAAATTACTGTCTTGCACACAACTGCCCTGGACATCTGCGGATGCTGAAACTCCAGCCTGCAATGTCGGCAGAGGCAGAACTCCCTTTAAGCCAAAAGACAGAGGCTCTCTCGTGCTCCCGGAAAAGGAGAAATCTCGTGAGCGTGTCTTGTTCCGCCTAGATTCTTCTTGCTTTCCCAGGCCAACTAAAGGATACAAAACAGCAGCACACCAGCAAAGGCATAATGTTCAAGTCTGAAGTCCCCAGTTTCATGTTGCCTGAACACAGTTGGGCTTTTTGAGGTTTGACCATCTGCACAAGCCACCTAGAGCAGTGTTGTCCAAACTTGGCCACTTTAAGATGAGTGGACTTCAACTCCCAGAATCCCCCAGCCAGCATGGCTGGCTG